TTTATCATCATTGCAATATTCAACTTTAACTTGAATATTACTTGAAAAGAACTCATTAATCCATTTTGTGTATGCATGACATATTTGGTTAATTAGAATTACAATACTTTGATTTCACATGTATTGGAATTTCATTTGTTTGGGGGCTTTTGTTTCCATGCACAATTGTTAAGATTATAACAATTAGTTTTAAATTCTTAATTAATAATCATATATTATTTGCGTTTTGTAAATTTTAACAAGAATTTTTAAATATTTTAAATACATTTCAAGTTTTTTGTTTAAATATTTCAGATTCATTATTTTGCTATTTGGTATGAGCATCACAATTCATTATCCAAATATTATATCACGAAATTTAATACTTAATGTCATTAGGTGCAAATATTTAATACTAATACTTCTTTATAAACAAAATATTTGCACCTAATAACATTAAAATGTAACTCATTTTATACATTTTACTTATCTAACTAAATATAGTTATTCAAATTTGTAGTTCTGATAGTAATTAATCATTTATCGCTCAATGAAGAAGTCATTCAAATTGGATGAGTGCTACGTTCATCAATTTTAGTTTTACTTTTTTTTGGTTGTTGATTACACTATGGTTTTAATATAACTTATATCGCGCATACTATTTGCTTGAGACACACGTGCAACGCACGTGTTCAGAAACTAGTATATATATAACACTGAAACAAATAAAATGTTGAAAAGTATAGACTATAATTTCCAAAATGTGAAAACAGATTCATACGGAGGAGGAAAATAAGTAACAAACAGATTAATGTAAAGACGCAAATAGAAAAAAGACACTAATTGGGTTGTGTTTCACAAAACGAAATAAAAGTCATAATAGAAAGAATAAATGTTAATATCAATTTTCTAAATATAGTTAAGAGCAAAGTGTCAATCTTTCAAATCAACCTTATAAGACTGTTACACAACACACATTCACTAATTAGCACAAAATGGATGAAATGTTAATGTTTTCTTTTGAAGAAAATCAAACGTGACACACACTACTAGTCTACTACACACATTGTCATGTATGATTTCACTTTTAAAAAAATAATCTATTTTATTATTTTTATTTTTGTTTTCTATTAATTCCAAAATATAATATATTCAAAATGCGAAAACAGATTAATAAGTAGGAGGAAAATAAGTAGAAAAAAGATTAATGTGAAAACAGATTAAAAGGAGGAAAATAAGAAAAGGAATTTATCCATTTTTTCCTTGACAGTTGACACTACTTGGGTTGTGTTTCACAAAGTCGGCTAACTCATATAATAGATACAAGAATTCTTGTTAAGAGGTTCATAACTTCATACGATCGGTAAGGTAAGGTCTAGTTCCTTGCTTGTACTTATTCCTTCTGTGATTTTATTTATTTTTGTTTTAATTCGCCAAAAAATAAAATAGGAGTCAATATTTTAAGTAAACCATCAACCAAAAATATGTCCAAACTTGTTTGGCATTAAGACGTTGTTGTTGTTGATCATATCATCATATCATATATTACTATAAGTGGGAACAAAAAAAGTTATAAAAGTTGAATTACGATTTTACCCATACTATAAATTAAAATGTTATAAAAGCATTTAATTATTTAATTTAAATGTTAAATTGTATCATTTTAATAAAAATGTGAATGACTTTTGCACTTCCTTAGATTAATTCCTAATTAAAATATCGAATTTAATAATATTTATCATCTATATATAATCTATATATATATTTAATTTAATTATCATCATCATCATATATATCATCATCATCATATTATACCATCATTATATATATATAATATTACTAAAGGTGGGAAGCCTCCAAGTTAAAAAGTTGAATTATAGAAATATCTTTATAAAGTTAAATGACACTTTTATCCTTCAATCAAAATTTACTCCAACATTTTTTTGGATAAAGATGTAAAATGTGCATTCAAATAAAGATTAAAAAAAAATTAATTAGGAGAAAGAAGTTTTACTGCTCCAAACCATTGAAGAATTTGAAAAGACTTGCAACAAATTCAACATAAATTATAGGGAAAAGGGTCAAAAATACCCCTCAACTTTAGTTTATTGTTTGACTTTACCCTCGCCGTTAAAATGAAGTTAATTTTACCCCTCCCGTTACTAATTTCACCAAAATTACCCCTCATTTGACGGAATCCCCCAAAAATTGACCCAAATTACCCGAATTTTTTTAAAAAAAAACCTATTCCCTATTTTTAACCCAATGCCCAGACCTGCCCCGACCCCTCTAACCCGTTGTTCTTCATTTCTCTTCCCTCTGATTGTTCTTCCATATCAACTGTGCCAGCGCGTTCATTTTCCGGCAAAATTGACCAATTTGAAGACTGCACTGCTCTTAACCACTTAGAATCATCTACATTCGACCAATTCCCTGTCTCTTCACCAAGATTAGCTTCCTCAAGATCCTTCTCAATCCCTTCATACTTTAAGCAATATGGTGCAAACCTTGCACCATCACTATCCTCGATAATCGGCGTACTCCGCACTCGAAGATAAAAATCACATCTTTTAGCTTGATGAATCTGAATCTGATGTGAAGCCATAACGAACACACAATTCGTTACTTCTTCAATCAACACTGACCCAAAAACAGGTCCAACATATACCTTACAATCAATCAATTTATGCACAAACAATGCCCTCACACTCCCCCATTAATCTCACATCTCAACCCTTTAAATCTGATAAAACAAATTCCATGATCTCTTCATCATTACCCCTACCGAATTCCTTCACTAATACCTCATTTTCTTTGCCCCTAAACCTTGGCGAATCCAAAACCCTTAACACTGAATCCTTTGATTCCACATTTGGAACTTCTGATATGATGTTGTTTTGCGTTGTGATTTTCTTCGTTGATTCGTTTTTGAAAGAGAATTTCTTCCTTGGGATTACTTCGCACGTAACCTGTTCGACTAATTATTTTAGATCGGTTATAGTTTTGAGGCATGTACGGACTTTGTAGGACGGTAGGGGAATGGGTTATCCTCTGGAGGGTCGGGTCATTGGGTTAAAATAGGGAATAGGGTTTTTTTTTTAAAAATCGGGTCAATTTGGGTCAATTTTGGGGATTCCGTCAAATGAGGGGTAATTTTGGTGAAATTAGTAACGGGAGGGTAAAATTAACTTCATTTTAACGGCGAGGGTAAAGTCAAACAATAAACTAAAGTTGAGGGGTATTTTTGACCCTTTTCCCTAAATTATATGCTACATCCATTTAAAAGGTGATTTTTTTAGAGTAAAAAAACGTAGTCTAGCTGCTTACATTCATAATTTTGAAAACCCAAAAGTTACTTCTTATTAAAATCACTTTGAAAACTGTAATCTCTCAATTTATAATATCAATTTGAAAATTAATTACACCCCTCTAAATTCTATTAAATCTATACACCCCCTTTATATCTTATGTTCTCACTGCTAAAAAGGAACATGTTCTCTTCCAAAATTGAGAGAACTACTCCTCCACGACTACACAATTTTAAAATGTAAAAAGGCAAACAGAAAATTGAAAGAGGTAAGTTTCCTACTTCTTGTAGTGTTTATTTAAATTTGTCTTACTATTACTTCTTAAATTTTACAGTGTTTGATATATATATTTTTTCCCTTTCTAGACAATTCTATATCGTTTCTTGAATAAATGTTGTTTTTTGCCAAGCTCATACTGTACAAATGTTATGACAATTGCATTAATTTTATTGCTAAATTTATTTATTGATCAAATTTCATGGTAAGAATATATGAATCTTTTATGCTCTTTTTCTTTGTTTCCCTGATCATTCAGTTCATAGAGATGATCCATATTGTACTTGAAGTTTTAATTAATTATTGTAGCTATTTTATATTTCAAATTTATAAATATTGCCGAGTTTGTTTGGCCATAACATGATTTTACTAATAAAAAGCACAATATTGTGTTTCAGTATGAAGCTATTTTTATTTAACATTGACTTCTTTAATTTGATATAACAGTTTGGTTGAGCATAAAGCTTTTTCTTATTCTTTTCGATGCACTAATTTTTGCAGTGCAACGAGCCTGAGAATTTAGCATCACTAGATGTGCAAACTTTGCACTATAGAGAAGATGAAAACAAGTGTTTTTTTCCTTCTTTGTAGCACTACTCTTAACTAAAGTTGATCACTTATTCTATTTTGCAAATAAAGTTTTATATACCTATTTCGGAAATCTTTTGGCTAAAAGAAAAAGTGTTACAAATTTGAAGTAGAAAAATTTATGCGAGTAAAGGTTCAATCTATTTTTTTGACATGAGTCTTTAAATTGTTATGACGTTGCATAGCTTCAATCAAGATGCATGAGTATTGACATACTAAAATATTTTGATTTTTCTATTCAAATATGTCTTTGTTGTGGTTTGCAATTTTCTATTTCTCTTTTAAACAGTGATATTCATTAGGGATTGAATCCCATAATAAGTAAATTTATATTTATTTGTATTATAGATTAATGTATCAAATAAATATGCTATACGAATGGATGGACCAAAATTATACATCACATTTTTATTGGCTTGTGGTATATGTACGCATCATGCTTAACTGTCTAGCTAAATTTAGTTATGTTTTTTGACAAACTCAAACTGTATTTACAATCATGTCTGAGCTTGTATGTTTCAAATGGAATTTTGTGCAACTTATTATTTACCAATATTAGTGTTGCCTTATATTACTTTAAAAAATGTGTATCGATGCATGGGATACACGTGCAGAGCACGTGTTCAGAAACTAGTATATTATTATAAGTGGGAAGCTTCAAAGTATAAAGTTGAAATACCATTTTACCCTTGTACTAATTTTTTTTATTAAAAAAATCATATATTATTAGTTATTATATATTAAATATAAATATTATGGGATGCTAAAATTTACTTTTTTTTTAATGAAATAGTAAAATGCCTGAAGAATTTGAAAAGTCAGTTTATATATTAAATAGGGAAAATGCATAAGTACCCCCCAGCTTATGCCCAAAATCCCTGAGACACACCTAACATTTACTAAGGTCCTATTACCCCCCGAACTTATTTTTTAATTAATTTTTTACCACTTTTCGGCTTACGTGGCAATATAAACCAAATAGGTTGAAAGCTTTGTTCAACACGCGCCGGGCCCCACTTTTTCAACTTTCTAAAAAGTAGCTTTTACACTTCCCAAAATTTCAAAAAACTATCCTATTATTTATAATCTACTTTGTTAATATATTTTTAGTTAGTTTATAGATTTTAATGTTTATATATTTTATTTCAAATTTGGGCATGTAAAATTTTGTAAATATTATATATATAATTTTATTTTATTTATAGATAAAAA